GAAGCTCCAACCAGCACTTTTGGTTCTGATGGAATAGGTGTTATTATTGCTATTGTTTGTTTTGTTTGTTCTTTTCTATTTTGTGCTTTTTAAAAGTTTATTTTTATTTTTTTATCTACAAGGGCTGCGGTCTGGCAGGAAAGAGGCTGCCACTTCCTGCAACATGTAGAACCGTTCAGAGAATGGAGGGTTTAATATTGTAAACTGCAAGGGGAATTTATTTATTTATTGTATGAAAAAGAGGGGAAATATTTTATTAGCAGGGAGTTTGAGCTACACCCAAAAACAAGCAGGCAAGTATCCCAGGAAATGGAAAGAAAGAGGGGAAAAAGGAACTAATTAAACCTGGAACAGTACAGTAATGATTTCAAACAAAATTCTGTTGTTTTTGAGAAGTCTCTTTTTTTGCTTAACACCCCAAAACAAACAAAAACAAAAAATCACACTTCTGTCTAAAATCTGCTAATTGCTGTTGTTATAACTAACACCTACGCACTCAATAACTGAACTAGGCTGGAGAAAAATATTTTTGCATAGTCCAGTTTGCTATTCCCTGTTATTAGCAAAGTCAGGGGCCTTTATATAGCAACAGGAGAATGGAAAACATCTTTTTTTATTTTTAAGGAAATGGTAGTTGAAAAGAAATCTAAAAAATGAATGGACTCGGATGCTCAGGCTGTCGGACAAGAAACTATTTCAGCACTTTTTTAAAATGACATCCTTTCAGGTGGCCATTGTCATAATCTGAGAGTTTGTCTATACTACAGGTTGTGCTGGTGTAATTTATGTGGTGGAAGTGTGTGAATAAGCCACTCTCTCCTCCCCCCCCACCTGCACATGACATAACTTACACCAATCTGAGCTCTAGCGTGGGCATCAGTGTGTCAGTATAGCTACCCTTTGTGGAGGTGGTTATCTTATGTCAACAGGAGAGCATCTTCACCCAAAGCTCTGCAGCTGCACCACTGTTGCCTTCTAATGTAGACTAGACCTGAGACACACAGTGAATCCCAGACAAGACTAAGGCTTTGGATATAATCTTCTGGCCAGGGAAAGCACAGAAATGCAGAGGGAGTGAAAGGGCACATGCCTCATTGGCATAAAAGAATGGATGTTGGCCTCTGGGGAGCCCATCTGGAATCAGCCTGTGCATAATGAGAAGTAAATATGGAGGTTTCAATCCATTTTCTCCCTTCCCCCAAGATAGAGCTGATACCAGGTCCCCTCATCCCAAGAGATCAGAGGAAGGTTGCAATAGTCAGCAGAGCTGAGGTTAGTTGGTAGATGAATGCAGGTATGTGAATAAATATGGAAAACCAAAGCCTGCCACAGTTCACACCATTGCAATCCCACTTGACTTCAGTAGGTCTTAAATCTGGGCAGGATTTGGCCTAGAGACTGGAATTCTGTCTCATCCCAGGAGCAGTTCCTCAGGGCAGGACTGAATTCTGTAGCAAACTCATGAGCACCACAGTGGATGGGTTACCTTCTCTGTACATAGCCCTGGGACAGTCAGACAGAGGGAGTGAGTGAGATCTCTGCTCAGCCAGCCAAGCACAAGAGAGTCATTCACCAGTTATTTGTTTATTTAAAAGATTTTTTTTCTCTCTTTCTCTCTATAAATACATCTTCAGGCTGGGTGAGAGAGACAGATGCTGACCTTGGCAAATGAAAGGGACTAAATAAACCAGGACTCTATGTTCTGGTCACTGGACACAGGAAGGCAGGTTTCAGCACCACATTCTTTCTCTCCTGCGTTCTACAGGGCTGTACATCCTCTTGCCACTTCTCTGTTCTGTCTGACAGGGACCAGGCCGAGGTGCTAGAAGGAAGCACTGCTTGCAGTCAGCCAAGCTACCCTGAACCCCATCTTGCCTGCCATAGAGCAGCAGAGTAACCTGCTATCAGGCTAGCCTTGAAAAGGACATTTTGTGGGGGTAGGGCCCTTCACTCACTAACATTTCAGGGTGGGAGGAGGGGCATGGAGAAAGGCAACAGCAGGGTCTGATTGGAGCCTTTAACTTACTGCTATGCTGTGTGTCACCACAGCAGGGCAGGGAGAGGAAGGCTCACACCTGTCATCAGTGTGCCTAAGGCTGTAAAATGGAGACACACTTTATTACTTCAGCTGTTTTCTTCCTTCCCTTCCACCTCCTCTCATCCATCTTCGCTTGTCAGCTCAAAGGGAGGAATCTCAGGCACCTGTCCCTTTTCAGTGGCTGACATCACACAGCCCCTGAGAGTTGTTTCGTTGGTTTAAAATCAGAGCGCCCCCCTCCAGCATTTGAAGCAGACATTGTCATTTTAGGTGCAGGGTCTCTTCACGTTGGCAGAGAAAATCCAAGGGAACAGGAGGTGTGAGTGAGGATTGCCCACGACATAAGGCTAGCTTCAAAGGGCAGCCTGGCGTGGGGCTCCCTGGACAGCCGCAAACACACACTAGGGGAATCCAGCACCCCTCTCTTATTTATCAGGAAATGGACAACTCTGTGCTGCCACCTAGGAGTTTTTGCAAAAATTCACTAACAAAGCATTGTCCAGATACTTTCTTACTAGCCCTGTGTGGAGGTTTTAGCTTAGAGGCCATCCTAGCTCCATAGCAGTGATGTTACACAGGGTTTTTAAACTACCGGGGCACTGAGGTCTGCTTGTCACTGGAAGCGCTGACAGACACATCATCTGAGAGTACCCAGCACTCTAGTTTGAATCTTCCTTG